CTAATAGTGCGTAAATTTCTTGGTGCTAATCACACCACTCCATTTTGATATGTTTGATATCTGATCATGGAAATGTTAAAATGACCTGTCAACCAATTCACCTATTAAAACACCTGTCATCAATTTGCTGATTTCTTTTGATATTGGGCGACCCTAAATATTTAGTGTGATCCAACAATGTCAGTTCCTTCTTTTGTCGATGTCTTATTCTATTCATCAATTTTTCACGAAGCAAAATGAATTTAGAGTTGAATTGAATTTCACATTCATTATCAATTTGTTATGGTAAAAGGCTTTCATATTGTGTTTTCTTGCTATAATGATTGTCAGGAAGACTTGATAACACTCAATGTGTCAGAAATATAGAGAGATATTGTAGCTTTCAGCGGGAACAATATTGAAGGAAATTTTATTGAAGGCCAAAATAGGGCTTATAACAAATAATAATAGAACCACCTGCAAAAATAAAGTGAATATAACATATGATATCTATCATCCATTTCTTGTAAAATTTATAAGAACATTACAAACAGAAGTACTAAAATGATGTGTCACTTCGAATTGAACGATTCATTAAGTTTGGGTGAATGCATATTACAAATGGTTTGTATAGAACCCTAAAATAAACAGCTTATGTGTGACTATGTTATATAAGATATCTATCAATTTTTAGTTTGGAGGTGCTTTCATATTTGATAATGTAGAGCTGCACTGGGTAACTCCATTTTTAACGTTTTTTTTTCATGAAAGATCTGATTAATAGAAATGACAAATAGATTCACGATGTTTATCTCACAAACTATGGTAGAGTCAGATATCAAGTGTACCAATTAATGCATATGTCATATTGTCAAAGAAATTAAAGACAAATTTTCTCTATGGAAGACCAAAAGGAATAAGGAAGATGTATTTGTGACCAATTTTTCAAATTATCATATAATTGACAATTTGGTGAAATGTCTAAAATATTCAGAGTGTTTTTGAAGGTGATTTCCTAAAATCTTACATTCTTAGATATGTGTAGGATTAAATGCTTCAGATAAAGTGATTTTTTATGGGAAATAAAAGAAGATGTTTATTTAGGATTGAATGATACCAAAGATTTTAAAACTAAGTGTTTAAAAAAAAAGTGCATTTGATGTCTATTCATGAAGCATTTCATTATTAGAGATAAGAGGTCACAATTTATTTTGAAGTTATCTCCCTTGCTAAGTGGTGTGATCCTACTTAACCTAAAGGGGCCTTTGTTTGTGAAGGTTGTTGTTGTCACTCCTGTTAAGGAGAAGTTTAAGGACTGAAAATACTTCAAAGAGACTTTATTACCTAACTTGTAAACCAAGAAGTCGTGAAACACTTGAAGTATGTTTGTTTTTGTTTTTAAATGTTTAAAACACTTCACTTCGTTATCAGGTCCTTCTGAAAGTTCTAACTTGGGATATATATGGCATGTGATTATAGTTGATGTAGTGTTTAAATTTGATATTCTGTCACAATTAACATCTTTTCTGAATAATATTTATACAAGCTTGCGTAATTGTCAATGACAGATTAATGTCGTGAAAAGAGATGCTTGTTATGTATTTTTATCAAAAACAGGAAAATTGAGGAGATAACTAACATGTTATAATCATGCCATGATGGCGACAGATTTTGTGAAATGTTAAGAATGTGTTTGAAAGGTATTGATTTGTTTCAATGCAAAACAAACATTGATTTATAAGGATTTATAACAAAAATTGTTCGAATCATTTTCAATATGTTAAGCACTTCTTTTTCTCATAAATATTCACAGCAGTGTTGAAAAAATTAGGACAAAAGATCAGAAGGTGACAATCAGAATCACTAACTTAGACAATAATTTTGGTATACACTCACCTACAGTGTTGACAATACTTAATATGTTTTATTTATCAGATTAAAATATAAAACTTGTGTAACAAACTGCTCCTCTAGAGAGTAAATAACTTTACTTTGATCTGTTGAGTATAAGGTTAGTAAACCAGAGGTCCAAGGTTCAAATCCTAGCAATAGATTTATTGAAATTCATAATGAGCTCTGCTACAAAAGCATATTTTACTATAACCTTATAACGAAAACAATTGATCTTAAATTTTATAATATATAGATCAGCATCCTCTATCTATTGTAGTTAGTTTCAAACCCTTAAGGTCAAATAAGGTCAAATTATGGCGTTGTACCATCATATCTCTGCAGCTAAGCAGGCACACTTCTCTGTTATCATCCATATCTATATTGCTGTTCAGAAGATTATTGCCAGCAGTAAATGCTAATTCATTGTTCTGTAATAAGCCCACCCCAAACTGTGTCAGAGGTCTTATTGAAGGATAATTATGGTATTCATCACTGTGCGTTATTGTATAGAGTTGGTCATTGGAGAAATTATAGAAAACAAACAACCCTGAATATAAATAACATACTGTTGACAGAAGTAGTAAACTTATATATCATAAATGTTGTAAATAGGCCTCCTTTAGTGCTAAGTGATAAGGACCAACATTAATTATGTATTATACCTAGGTTTAAGGCATTAGAGAATAGTAAGGATAGCAAATATAATTCTGTGTGAAAAATATTACTGAATAAATGTGGATAGACAAAAAAAATGATTAAAAAAAATGTTATATTTTAATGATAAAACAATAATCATTTCTCATAAGTTTCTTTTTACTTTGTTTCTGTAGAAAAATATCAATATTTTTGTAATGATGTCATACTCCTATAATTCTGTAGACTAAAAGTATCCCACCTTTTGATTTTGTCAATGTACATCATTATTCCTCTATATCTAATCTGTAGAAGTTGTACCTATCCTATATTATATCACCACCCTGTGATATGAAAGGCAGCACGTCTCTAAGACTCTAGGTTTGCTGTATCAAACCTTTAAAATTTTCCCATAAAACAGATACCAACAGAATTTATATAAAATTAAACTGATTCAACTTCAACATGGGAATAAATTTTTTAAATTGGACTACTTCTTTATCAGATAGTTGTCATCACCCAAGGGAAGTCACTCCCAGATAAAGGTCTGATAATATCGTGTAAGTCTGTTAGGTCGCAACTCAGCCAGAGACAGTTTCACCTGTTAGATTGATAATTCTAGAGATAGTCCAAATTAGTGATTAAATAAGACAATTATTCCTATTTCTATCACCATTTTATGGAGTATAACATTCCTGATACTGGTTCCAATCATCGTTCTGACTTGTTCTGCAGATAAGTGATCACAAGGCGTGATTTCATTACAACTCACCAGACCTTGAGTGGAAGAGAATTTTTTCTTACATATTCCTATCCATTAGAGGTTTTCATGTGTTTAGCATTTTATGGGCTGGGTGGATACGTAATGCTACCAATGTCCGCCCATCTGTCTGTCCCATTGCACCGCATGGTGCTGTGAACAAATATAATATTTTGAGTATCTCTCTACTAATTGTGTTCATATTTACTCCATGTTGTCATAACAACAAGATCTACACCTTATACAAAAGGTGTCATTGGTCAAGGTAAAGAGTCAAAGGTCACATTTGAAAACTTCTTTTAATTTATCCAACAATTTTTACATGCATGGGAGCTGAGGCATTCTTGTCTAGAAGAACCATCTTGTAGATTTTTGTAATATTACAGTTTCTTTTACTCAACAAAAAGTTATAAAGCAATGATACTGCTTATACTTGGAAAGGGAATATATATATTACAAATACAAGCTATTGGTTCAAAGGTCACACAGATCTCTGTAATAACAACCTGAAATACTACAGCAGTATCACAAGGACATAGAACGTTACTCGAGTGATCACCTTACTTCATTCCACTAGAGCCTGTCTTGAAATACCAGCCAGTCTAAGGAGACGAATGTCTCATACAATTCAGTTAAACCAAAAAAGTGTCTTTGTAACACCACCCACTTCTACAACAATATCAATACATATTTGTAATATCGCAATATAGAGAACTAAATGCCTTCACAATACTACAATACAGGATCTGTTTATAGACCCCGTTTTCTTATCACTATAATATAAATCCTGTATATATAGACCATCAATTTAATACTAGTTTCCATTTCTCAAGAATTTTGAAATGTAACTTTTTTTTCTAAATATAGGGCACCATTCATTAAATCAACTTAATTACACTTTCATTGCACAATATACTGCTGAACTTTGAAGGGCAGACATGTTTCTTTATAAAGTGTTTCGAGAGAGATTATAGTCATCATGTTTAGGATCAGTGATAAAAAGTACATTCACGGGTATAGCCCTGTCATTAGGGTGAGTTAATCTGTCAAGAGTTTGGGAGAAACATTAACATGGATGTCATGGATGTCGTTCAGACAATAGTCAAGTTGGAGTGAAAAATGTTCTTTTGCTGATGATAAGTGATACTAGCTGGAGCCTGGGGGAGGGTAATAAGATAAGATTACAATATTTTATCAGGGTGGAGTACAGTTTATCAGTAGGGATAAATGTAAATGTTTAGAAATAATGTGTTTTGTTTTCAGTCTTAAAAATGATGTCCTTGATTGATGAATGAATTCAGATAAAGTGTTCTAAATCCATGATAACATATATATGACAAATAATGAAAATCATGATCACTTTTTCATCAGTTAGCTTCTAAATTGTGTACTATTTATTGACAGAAGTTTATAGCCAGGCTGAATGAGACAGTCAAGGGAGATAAATGTTTCTTGCTCACAAAACAAATTTCTAATTCTCTTGTTATATTCAATTTTGGTGAGATCTGATGTATTATTAATTTAAAACAAATGGATCTCTAGTCTTCTCAGTAGGACTGACTTTTAATGACCTCTTCAGTATTATCAGTCTGATAGTCATTAAATTTTACTTACAGATAAAGCAAATATGTCGGGTACAGGGATATGATGGTAGCTTTAAACTAGGAGGTTATCATCAGCTTTGTTCAGGTTAGTAACCTTGACCCAATTAACATAAGTTACTATTGTTTTACAGACAGGGATTCTACGGTTGCCAGATGAAGACTATGTCATAGAACCAATGCCTGTAAATTTTGATGTTAGAAACATATCTACCTCTCAACAACATCACCATGAACATCGTCGTCATAACCATGGATACAGACTTCCTCATGTCCTTTACAAAATGTCTGCTGTCCATGGCCATGAACCAAGATATTATGAAGCTCAAAATTGTAAGTAAAAGAGGCTGCCAGGATTTTTGTCACTGTATATATGTGAAGATACCATAGTTGTCATTTTCATAGAGTTTTAAATTTTCATCATTTCAAGGATGAAATTATGAAAGCAAATGGTATTAACGAAACAAATCTTAGGCTGTTTGATAACTTCTTTGCAAAAAAAATGTTTGTTGAAAAATTTTGATAAAACTGTTGTGCAAATTAGAATATTAAACAACTTTTAGATAACAAGTGAAGAAATCACAAAAAAACGATATCTGTGTTGAATGTCCACAAAATATTGATGTGTTTTAAAAGGTCATCAGCTTTTATGAACAATGTTTGTTCATTATTGATTTATTTGCCAAAATGATATAAAAATAGGGAACATTTCTGTCTTTATTATCGTGATGAAGACTTTTGCAGGTGTTTCGTTTAAGTGGCTTCCATCCTTTCTGATTTTAGATGACAAACGTTCAAATGCAACAAGGACGAAAAGATCATCTACTTCTCAGAATCTACAACAGAACTTGTCACATGAGCAACAACGTCAGGAAAAATTGTCACATGAACGTCAACGCCAAGAAAGGTTGTTACATGAGCGACTTCGTCGACAGCGGTTGTTGCTTGAGCGACAGCGTCAAGAAAGGTTGTCAACCGAAAGACGTCGACAGGAAATGTTGTTGCGCGCTCGACGTCAACAAGAGAGGTCTAGGTCAGAAAATGCCAGGCGGCAGCAGGAGAGATCATCAAATAGCAGACGACAAGCGGAATCGTCATCTGCCCAACGCCGAAAGGAGTTCTCACGCACAAAAACTGTCGAAACTCTTGTGGTTGTAGATCAACATGTGTATAAAAAACATGGACGCCAGAATGTGACTACTTACGTCCTCAGTATGTTTAACATGGTAAGCAACTTTGATGGAGTCCTTCTTCATCATTTTGTTTGTGAGTAATTCATCAATCAGTATTCAATTGACAACTATGGAAAAATAACCAAACCCCACTTAAAATAAATTTTGTAAATTAGAAAAAATTGATTTTAATTTGTTAAAACTAAACACAAATATGATCAATTATTTTAAAGATTTAAGGTTTAAAATGCCATGAATGCCATCAGTTACAAACTAGACTTAGACTGGTCTTTTCTTTCCTTCTCTACTACAAATTACATTTCCATAAAAAGTTTTATTCGTTCCTAGTACTTCCTATGCTCCTGTTTGTTTTGAAGGTGTCACAGTTGTTCTTAGATGACAGTCTTGGATACAAAGTCAACATTGTATTGGTTGGGCTTATTATCATGGATGGATCTGAGGTAAGACTGATAAAAAGGATGATCTACCCAAGAAGAGACCAAAAGAGAGTAGTCGTAAAATTTTGGATCAATAGATGATTAATGGTCATTTTGCTTAAAGATTGCCTGTTTTACAAGATAATCATTTTGAATTTGATTTTAATTATTTTTTGTCCACTTGTTGTTTTGATAACATTATGTTTTTTAATGTCTGTTTTAAGTAATCTTCCTCAAAAATATGAAATAATGCTATTCTTAAGAAGTAGTATGCTTATTCGATACAGAAAAGTTATAGGAAGGGAGGTAACTCTCACAATATAGCTCCATTTCAAAAATAATTTCAGGAAACTTTTGGATTTTACGGTGTTTATCTGTAATACATATGTAGTTATCCTTTAAATGGGGTGGTTTCAAATTTACAGAAAAAGGAAATATTTTACTAAAATTTCTGTAAAGAATGATCACAATAAATGAATGTTTGTTTTTTTTTTAAAGATTTTAATCTGGTTTTTAAAACTGTTTATTTATATTCATTATCAGCCTGGACTTAGCATTAGTCACAATGCTGACAACACACTCAATAGTTTCTGTCAGTGGCAAGCTGTAATAGGGGGAAAACGGCACCGACAACATGACCATGCTATTCTCCTAACGGGACTGGACATCTGTGCCTTACGAAATGCTCCTTGTAATACTCTAGGTAAAAAGGATCAGAAGAATATCATTGAATGCTTTATGTAATGTATTAAGACGTTGAACTTTATTGAAATGGCAAAATATAAAAAAAACCTGTTTCCACAAATGGTCCAGTTAAATGTCAAACATCTTTGTCTGTGAATGTCAATGCTCTCTCCATGTTCAATATGCATCTGATGTGTTCATTCTCTCTATAGCTGATGATTTTGACTAATCATAACTTTCTGAAGTTTCAAAGTCATTATCAGACAGTTTATGTACCTGTTTACTTAGCCCTGTTGTGATGTATCAAATGATGGTTTAAAGTCACCACTAGAGGTCACATGACTCTTGTACAAACTGAATGTTTAAACTACGTCAAAAACATGTAGAAGACAATCATTTGCAGTAACGTTGTATTAAGAATGAATGAGAAAGGGCAGACCATTTCTTCAACAAGTATATTAGACACACATCATAATACTTAACAATGAAAATATGGCTGTACCAATTTTTTTTTCCTGTTTGCAGCAGCCCTCATAGTTTTAGATCAAGGTAACAATAAAAGGTCAAAGTTCAAACCAATTAAGTTGTACAGGTCAAATAACATTTTTATGGTCATCAGATTTGGTCATCACTACACTAACCTTAGAATATTTCTAACTTATATAAATATCTTTGTCATGTTTATAAGATTTTATTAAAAATAAAATATTGCTTAAATTTCATCATTGTTGAAATTTCAGGATTTGCACCGGTGAAGGGGATGTGCAACAGACTAAGGAGCTGTAGTGTTACAGAAGATTCAGGGCTGGCTACCGCATTCACAATTGCTCATGAAATTGGACACAAGTCAGTTCACATTTCACTGGGACATGAATTCTCATATACTAAAATTAGATTATTGTTATACATAATCAGCAAACATTTCCCATAGAGATATTACTGTAACAGGAAGGTGACAAATTATATACAAGACTACAAAGTGATCACTATAATTTTGCAGTGATATCTTTCTTGGATAAAGGATATGGGACATCGCAGTAGAATAGGAAACTATATATATTTAGATAAACAAAAAAAGAGACTGCAATAATTAATTCATCAATACTGAAGAATTCAAAATAGGAATATAGTTATCTTATTTAGAAAATAAAAGTACACATAGCTGTAACAGTAGATTGATATGCCCCCAAAAAATCCTAATTTGAATTTCATATCTGTTAAATGTTTATTTTAGTTTTGGAATGCTTCACGATGGAACAGACAATTTCTGTCGGCCTCATGCTGGAACAATCATGTCCCCGACACTCAGCTCCAAGAGCGGCATATTTCAATGGTCTCAGTGCAGTCGTAACTACCTTCATAGGTTCTTCAAGTAAGTACATGTTTTAAATACATGTACTTTAAATGAGAATTCACTGCTAACAGTAACATTATGTGATCTGTTGCTGTAATTTGACAATGTTTATATGATTTATTATTACTCGAATTTAATAGTTAACCTTAACTTTACCAAGCTCATGTCAGTCTTAAAAAACATTGGATTAAATAGAGCAGTCTTAGTAAAATCTATAGAAGGTGAAAAATGTCAATTCAGCTATCATGGTAGATGTCTGATGCTGATTATCCCCGTGTCAAAATCCTGTTTTCCAGCACAATCCAGTCAAGTTGTTTAGTTGATGAACCACAGGCTGTGGCCGAGTTGAAGTTCCCAGATAAACTACCAGGAGAAATCTTTAATGCCGATACACAATGTCGGTGGCAATTTGGGAAGCATGCAAGACTGTGCATTTTTGACTTTGGAAAGGTTTGTATCAAAATGCATTCATATCAAAATCATAATCAGTTGGAATGATTTCAAAATTTTATTTCAACTGTAATAAAAATGACTTTTATTAGTGTAAATAATACTCAACATAGAGGTACTTGGATAAATGTGACCTTTCAAAAGTACGAATCAGCTTTCTTTTTTTAAGTTTTATTTAAAAATTTTTTTCAAAACTGTCACTTTGATTTATGTAACAAGGTTAAAATATTTTTGAAACATTAAATTGTCTGTGATATGGATTGAAAACAGGTCAAATTATCCGAGAGATTTGTGCCACCTCACTGATCAAGTAATGATGAATCCCTAAGATATTTATTCGATCAAATGAAAAACACTATGTTTAAATTCCCTTCTCTCTACCAAAAACAAAACTGAAAATGAATTGCATTTGGGAAAGGACTTAAAGTACTGTATGATTTAGAAAGATTAAAATAGCTTTACTCTGAAGAATATTTCAGATATCGACTATATCACTGTGTGAAAATAAAACTACAAAATTATTTGACGTAAACCTGCATCTAGATGGACATATAATTGATACATTATACTGAAGTGTTTCTTGTTTTAGAGAGAAATTTGCCAAAAGCTGTGGTGTTACAAGAGTGGGATGATGTGTGAAACCAAATTCCTCCCAGCAGCTGATGGGACCTCATGTGGTGCTGGTAAGGTAGGTAGGATAATGAAAGAATACTCTTTTACTCTGTCTGACTAATGGGCGTTAACAGACTGAACCTGTACAAAGAGACCACTTGTAAGGTATCTGTAACCTGTATAGAGGCCATTTGTAAGGTATATTTAACCTGTAAAGAAAGATCACTTGAAATATTTCAATAACATGTATAGTGAGACCACTTGTAAAGTATCTCTAGCCTGTATAGAGAGACTACTTGTAAGGTTTCTATAACCTGTAAAGAGAGACCAATTGTGAGATTTCTAAAACCTGTATAGAGAGACCACCTGTAAGGTATCTCTAACATGTATAGAGAAACTGCTTGAAAGGTTTCTATAACTTGAAAGAGAAACTACATGAAAATTTCTATAACCTGTATAGAGAGACCACTTTTAAGGTTTCTTAAACTATTAAAGAGACTATTTGTAAGGTTTAACCTGTATAGAGACCACTTGCAATACAAACTTGATGCGTATAGAAAGACTACTTGAAAGATATTTCCGTATTCTAAGACTTGCCTTAAGCTACAACAGTGGATACCAGTAGAAATGGTGATATTTATCAGGATTCCAAATTGATAGTGAATATGATATTCTCTGGTAGACTTACATTGAAATTAATATTTTGTTATTTTCAAAGCAAAAATTATTAAACAAAGGGCTTAACTTATACAAATTTAAAATTAATGAAACTGTTATTCCTGTCAACCATGTTGAATTCACTGGAACTACTGAAATTTTTACCTGTTCATCTGAGTAAGTTAATGTTGGAAACTAAAGTATCAAAAAAGTATAAAGGGAAAAAAATATGTCTCATCAAAAGGGATGTCAGTTATATTGCACTGGTGGCTTCCTATCAGTTTTCCACACAATGGTTTATCTTTAAGTAATGCTGATTACATCGAGTGTGTTTAATGGATTGAGTGTGTTCAGTGGATTAAATGTGTTTAATGGATTAAGTGTGTTTAATGGATCGAGTGTTGAATAAAGTGTGTTTAATGGATCAAGTGTGGTTAATTGATTGAATGTGTTAAATGTATTAAATGTGTTCAATGGATTGAGTGTGTTCAATGGATCAAGTGTGTTTAATGGATCGAGTGTGTTTAATGGATTGAGTGTGTTAAATGGAAGTTTAAGGTTATAAAGACAGTGATTTTATGATGATAAGATAGTGTATCAAGTTTGTCTGAAGAAAATGTAAACACCAACTTCTTTCAATTGAATATTCATGATATCAACGTCATTTGTAGTGGTGTCGACAAGGTCAGTGTGAGACATACGGTGTACGTGGTCCTCTTCCAGTAAATGGACAGTGGTCTGCCTGGTCAGAGTGGTCAGCTTGCTCAAGGACATGTGGTGGAGGTGTCAAAGGTCGAAAGAGGCAGTGTAATGATCCATTGTAAGTTATAAACTGTGGCAATAACCTCATATAAATACAGTTAACCCTACATAATTTTAGAACTACAACATGAGAATGGACTATACAAGCGAAGGGAGACAACCATTACAAAATGTCTTAAGGATCTAAATATGAGAATTGCTCACAACATTTTTACATTTTTATTTAGATGTCGTATATTATCTAAAATTCAAGTTGAAATCCACCAGTGACATTATTTCTCTTTCAAAATAGACATTCCTTTCACCATAATATCATCTGCCATTATTAATGTTGATTGATTAAAAACATTCAGGACAGGAAAGAAAGAAGAATAGAAAATTTAATGCGTCAGGGTATTAAGTTGAATGCTAATTGGTATTAGGTTGGAAACTAAAGCCAATGATTTGTGTTGGTTTCAGGCCACAGTATGGGGGTGAACCATGTAAAGGAAATGACAGCATGAGTAAGCTGTGTAACTTACAGGTAGGGCCGCAAAAATGAGGCTGAATAAAGATAATGACTGCTAATCAAATTACTGATGATATTGGTCTTTTTATATGAAGAAATATTCCAATATTCAATTGATCTTTTAGATGAATTACTTTAATTTAACAATAGAAGACTGTACATAATGCATAGAAGGTCGTACATAATACATTATGTAGTAAAATGAATACGTAACTGTTTGACAGCGTAGAGGACTGAATGTGCTAAACTCACCAGATCAATGTAGATATACTATGTCTGTAAAATGGTGGTCAGTTGGTGCAGTGGTAACACACTCGCCTTTCATCTAGATGTCCAGGGTTCAATTCCCTCAAGCACTTACATTCAGACCAACAAGAGTAATTATAATATGTTTAAATAACTTGATTTGCAAATTTGGTAAAATGAAGAAAGCTAATATTTCAAATACCTTATTATCTGTCAAATCTTTGCGATGTAGAGTTGCGCGGAGGACAGTGTTGACTTCCGCAGTGTCCAGTGTAAAGGATATGATGACAAGGCATTCCGAGGATGGCATTATAAATGGAAGCCTTACAAACGTATATTCGATGGTGAGTAAAACCTGAAAACTAAATTGTTGAGGAAGGGAGATAACTTAATGAGCCAAATTGCACAGTTTATCAAATAAATTTTCGCGTATAGTGCACACTTTTTCAAGCTGAAACTGTCGTGTCAAAAAGGAGGTGCGCATTATATGCAGGAACATGCAATTCTTGGGGTTATCATTCCCGAGTTCTGCGTCCGCCATATTGGATTACCACCCTTCACATAGTTATATGTAAAAGTCATCGGTCTTATATGATAGTTTGGAGATAAAAACAACAGCAACAAAAAAAAAAAGTAAAAGTAAATTTCGAATGTTTTAATCATCGGCCATTCACGCTAGCATTACGGTGAATCTAATTTTTTTTTTCATTTCCCGTCGTTTGATTAGTGACTTACAATTGGTCGGGGCTATAGTAGTGTCTGAATTTCTGCCTCATTTTGATGATGTATCTGTGGAATTCAATGTGTCCGGAAGTTTTTGTGCGATTGTCGTTCTGTTCATAAATCAGACAGCCCATCCCACCGATGCTCAAAGTTGGTGACCCCATGTCCTCTCTTGATCTGCATGGCCTGCACGCGCAGCTCTGTTGTACTGGCAGCGATACCGGCATCTCAGTGATCGCATACAAAGTTGAACAGCTCTCTCTCCATCTCTTGGTGCTTCGCTGTCGCACCTATGTCAGCCCTTCTGGTCTGTGGTTGGTACTTTAGACGGTTTTTTCTTCGTGCCTTGATATTTCACTCTGGAATGTCGAAGTGGCGACCGGCGGCACGAAACTCAAGTCTCTTGGCGTAGTCCATGGCGTTCGCGGTTTCCCCATGTCGAAGTCGGTGTAAACATTCTATAACTAAGTACCTTCGGATACCGTGGTAGGTACACATATGGGGACAAGGTATGATTGAAACTTTTCAGACAGTTAAAACAACATTGTTTTCTGAGTTGTAGTACGTGTTTAGCCGAAGCCGGGTGTCATCAATCTCCTCATACTCAACGTGTTTGTTACCTGTTAAGAACCGTTAATTATCCAATTAGCCAAGCCTTTCATCCTTGTTAAGTCAGGTACCTGTGTGAATTTGTTTACATAAGGTAATTAAATATGTTAGGGTCACGATGACTGTGGTTTCCTCATTATCAATTAATCTTTCTGTAGAAAATCTTCTTATTTTTTTTTTTTGGAATCTGACCCCAAAAAAGTACCTGCGCACTATACCCGCGTGCTCACTAAACCCGCAAATTTATGGTATTCAACAACACTTGTATAACTTTGAAATAAAATCAGATGATGATCTATTTTAAGGCAATGTTTGATAAGAAAATCTTATTTTAAGGATCTGCTCTTTGTTTATAGCTTACAGATGTTTAATGAGTTTTAAAACATATTGTTGAAAAGTCAACATTCACATGTTCTTTCATGACTATTGAAGCACAATCAAAGTTTTGTACAAGTGTGTGTTTGCGTTGTAGTACAAGACCAGTGTAAGTTATACTGTCAGGCCAATGGATACAACTTTTTCTACGCTCTTGCAAAACAAGTGGTTGATGGCACGCGCTGTAATGATTACTCCAACGACATATGTGTTCAAGGCCAGTGTCGTGTAAGTAGGAATCTACTGAAGACTATGTAGGAGCAGTTCTAATCCATTAGAATCTTGTTCTAAATTTTCATTAAATTTGAAAAAGAAATATTGGATAAAGATATTCAATACCTGTTCACCTCAGATTACCATGGTAAGCTTAATATTTTTTTTACATATTTTGAACAAGAAATAAAGATAATATTTCTGAAGCTAGCAGAGAAAAATATTTTGTGGTAGTGACCAAATTAAAGTAGAGCAAAGCCTTAGAGACAAACATTTGAGACATTTCAATGTAATTCAGATTTGCTGCTGATTAATGACCTCTTTCAACAGCAATGATGAATTATCATCTTGCTTGAAACCAAGAAAGTAAGCTTGTGTTTATACATTTGATAAGAATACACAAACTGGAGTTAAAACACATCCTTGTTGTGTCATCTGACTAGAAGCCATCCTGTTTTCATCATCTTGATGTGTGCCGTCCGCCATACTTAAACTTTTATATTATATCAAATTACCTGAAACGATTCTGAGGTGGTCCTAATCAGGAAATGTAATTTGATGGGGTGGTCTGAAATCTGATATGGCCACCATCTTGAAAAACACATTTTCAACTTTTAAAGCTTTACTGTTGCCATGGAGCTAAAAATTGTTGGAGATGTTCAGGAAGGGAAGCCTACAGCCTTGTTATGTTTTGACACAGTCATGGTTTTCTTTGAACAATACCTTTTTAAAACTTCTAAGTTCTACTTGTTGTTATTGCTCTGGTCGACCCAAAATCCAATATGGCTGCCATCTTGAAAAACTTTTTCCCCAGCTCCACTGATGCCATTGAGCCAAAGTTTTGTAGAAATGTTGTTAAAACTGAAATGAAAAGCTTTTTTTGCCCTTACTGCAAAAATGTCCTGAACTACCTTAATTAGTTAGTAATTGTTCCGACTACTACCATTACCAGTGTACAATACATTGGTCTTTATAGTCAGATGACTTGCAAACAGGTAGCATGATTGTATAAGTGATTTATAACTAATGTTGCAGTCTGTCGGATGTGACCTTGTAGTTGGATCTCCTGCCAAGAAAGACATCTGTGGAGTGTGCATGGGTGATAACTCCACTTGTAATGTGTTTGAAGGCATCTATGAAAGTCAACCAGAAAGAAATCGTAAGAACGACAACTATTTTGAATCAGATAATTACCAGTATTAATAATTTCGGGTATTTTGATTAAAAGGAAATGAACTTGAATTAAGTTCTGTTATAATTTTATGATGCAAAATAATTTCCAAAAGTACCTGATGGTTTTCTTCTTCTTACTCATTGTATGTGCACAAGTCTACCATTAATCTCACATTTAGTGTCTGAGTGCAAATGTCTACCATTGATCTCACAATTTAGTGTCTGAGTGCAAAAGTCTACCATTGATCTCACAATTTAGTGTCTGAGTGCAAATGTCTACCATTAATCTCACATTTAGTGTCTGAAATTCTCATCTCAATTGAGTTTTTTTATTCGGCTCCTTTACTTTTGCTGACAATGGTCACAAACTCGTATATTTTTACCTCAATTTTGGCCAACATTTATGACACCCGGATTGAAAAGTACATTTAGGATGAAATTTCTAAAGACATTGAAATCAAATTTTATTCATTATCAAATCTAAATAAAGTTAAGACTGGTATATGACTGAAAAAGACTTCTCCATCAATACAAACTATGTGTTACATTTTAGGTTATTTCCCAATTGTCGTCATCCCAAAAGGAGCGCGTAGCATTGTCCTACGTGAGACATCACTCTCTACAAACTACCTCGCCCTTCGTAACATTTTTGGCAAATACTACCTCAATGGTGATTGGCATTTGAGCACAGAGGGATCTTACACAGTGGGAGGGGCTAGATTTATTTACAAACGAAGCTATCGAGAACCGGAGAGACTGGAGTCAGATGGACCTCTCTCAGAGGACATTGTCTTGGAGGTAATTACTTCATGAATTTTAGGGTCTCTCTCTCTTTCAGCAGATGTGTCTCTGAAACTTATTTATATATTATGTCGCCATATACCAAAACCTTCATGGTTAAGTGTTTAAAACTGAAATTTTAGTCGTGATTGCTATTGTATAATATCCTCTTAACAATTAGGACCATTGAATTAGGCCTTGCTCTGTATACGAAGTGCATGAATTAAATTAATGTTTATGGGAGGTTTGTATATGCCTTAGGAAAGTGCAAATCTGAAGCTTTCTAAATGCTAAAATCTTCTGTATAATGAAAATAACTTTTTATTTTATTAGAAGGACTAACACTTTGGGGACAGCTTCCACTATAGACTTAAGATTAATGTATGAAATATCTCTTTAGTTACATGATCAATAAAAACTTTTAAGTTTTTTCGAAATTGCTCATGAGCGTGTTCATGAGAATCTGATCAGCAGCACATATGACATTTTAGGTCAGAACCAAAGTGAGACCCACTGATCAGGGTCGATAGCTCAAACTGTTGCCCATCAGATTCCCTTGTTATTTATTTTTAAAACTGATCAATAAATGTATCTCATGTCATGGTTTTGCATACTCCTTTCGTGATGTAGGGTATGACAGAAATGTATTGATCTTTATAGTTGCTGTCACAAGGTGTCAATCCAGGGATATCTTACCAGTATGCCATGCCCAAGGTTTTACCAACCGTATTTGCAGTTCCCCACAACCACACATGGAGTGTGAAACTGACTCACTGCAGTGAACAGTGTGCCGGTGGTGTCCAGACATCCACAGCTCACTGTTCTCGTGAGGATGGAGAGGAAGTCAATCCACGTCTTTGTGACTCGAGGTCAAGGCCACAGACAGGCGTGTCTTCCTGTAATGTAAAACCTTGTACCCCAAGGTATGAAAATATTTCAGGCTTAGTTTACGTATGTCAAAGATCATATCATCATTATATTGAAAGAAAAATCTGAAGTGTAAAAAGATTTTGTATAAAAATAAAGAAATTATTGGAATAAACTTAATTCAAAGATAAGTACATTTAACACTATATAATGCTAACAGGAAGATCAAAATAAACAGTGGACCCACGATAATCTGGAGGCCCAAAGCCCAGATTGGCCCATTGACTTATCACTAGTCTGGAAAACTAGATGATTTTGGTGGGGAATGAATTAGTCTGTATTATCGAGGGTCCACTGTACTAAAGACTGGTGACTTCCTCTTAATGCAGCTGCTGAAAAAGCTGTGTAAAGCTGTTTATATCTGAATAATTCAGGTGGTTTACTGAGCCCTGGGGTGATTGCACAAAATCATGTGGTGGAGGGAAACAGAAGCGTCGAGTATTCTGTCGACAGAAAATCTCTCAAAAGGAGGACCGTCGAGTCAGTAAACGCCGCTGTGACAAAAATCTCCGCCCAGCCAAAAAGATTGCATGTAACACACAGGAGTGCCCACCAGCTTGGCATATGAAAAAATGGTCCGAGGTAAGTATTTCAAAACATGGTGTTGTGAGTTCAGATTGTTCCAGGGTAGCTCTGTTCAAACTTGCAAGTGACAATAAGAACCCAGTTGTATGTACATTTCAAGTTCTGTCTTTGTTTCTGTAAACATATGTTTTTCTCAGGGTTATGACAATTTCAAAGAAAAACATACGACCAAAAGTAAGGAACCATATCTAACTGCAGTTGAAATTTTCATAAATTTCACAGAAAAAAATGACCAGAAACAGAGGACATTGTCTTATTACAGTGGAAATTTTCTGAAAGTTCACAGAGGAAAATATGACCGAAAGAAGTGAATTTTGTTTAACTTCAGTGAAAATTTATGCATCTATTACAAGTGAAGTCATGAATAAATAGAAGATAAAAAGCCTGTTTTTTTTGGTAACTTTTGAAAAATAACTAACTCAAGTGAAATAAATACCATAAATGACAACCACTCATTTTGTGGGGGGTTTCTACCACAAGAGAAAAAAACATTCTACACACAAAAACTATTGACTTTCCAAAACAGTGCAATACAATGGCCTGAAGTAAAATGTCGCCGCTTGATATTAAAAAATGTCAATTCTAGAATTTTTTTAGATTGATTACAACTTGTAACAAGAAGTTAACAAATGAAGAATTTTCAAGTCCATTGTACGGCAGAAATATGTATGAAAATTTGATGATCAAAACAACATATAAAACTAATCTGCGATTGAATTTCCAAAGCGCCATTTCGGTCAAAGTTCATCCTGTCAGCCAATTGGAACATGCGAAATTGTTAAACCACATGTGATATAACATTATATGTTTACACAACAGTTGGAATGATTATTTGATGTCTTAGGAGTTAAACGTATTGACTTATTCAAGATCCTTCATAATGGATTTTACTGGCTTAATTCCATTTCATTCCAGATCCTTTGTTTCAAATTCAACACATTCAGTTTTGAAAAAAAATAACATGTCATTGATTATATTAATGGTAGTGTTCAACAACATGTGGTCCTGGCACAAAGACACGAGAGGTGGCTTGTCGTAGTCGCACCAGTCGTGGTCCAATAGAGCTTCCAGACAACATGTGTCAACACCAGCCAGTTGTAGCTACAACTAGGAAATGTCAAGTTGCCAAATGTCCACCTGTGATAACCTATCAGTGGATTGTGTCATCTTGGACAGAGGTAAGACAACCAAGCTAGATATTGGCATAAGGTCAACGTGACAACACTTGCTGTCTTTATTTTTGTATTTGGGGTTTACCAACTTTGCAATGACCAAAGCAGAAAAAAAGGAGAAAAGCTGTACTAAAGGATTCTGTTGCCTGGATGTTGTCCCTTCTGTTCTCTTCTTTACTATTATTTGCCCTTTTATCAGCAATGCATTTAGTCCTTGATGTACATTGGTTTACTAAGAGTAGGGGCATATAATAAGAGGGTAAGAAACTATCCACGTCTCTATAAAGCTATAACGAAGAATTTCAAGTTACCAGCCTTGCTGTGTTTGTAATCCATTTTTTCTCCCAAAGTACATAATTTATCTTCTTAAAGTAAATAGTAGTTGAAGACTTTTTAAAGGAGTGAAAGGGAGACAGACAGATAAGACTTGATAAGAACAGTAAGAAGAGGGGATGGCTCAGTGCACAAATGCAAACGCTAACCCCAGAGAGGACACCACTGTGCCTTGTTTCTTAACCCTCATATGTCTCTGACTTAATGGAACTGACATAAAACTGAGATTAATATGCACTGTCCTTGTTAAGTAATCCTGATAAAAAATTAAGCTGTCAGTTTGAACTTATAACCTGTCACTCAATTCATCATGAACAACAAAGAACTAAGGAAGTCCGAAGTAATCATGTACAACAGGGGGTTAAGGGCAGTCTGTGTATGAAATCTGAGAAAGATCCATCCAGTACTTATCAGGAAATAGTGATATCATTCTTCAACTTTAAAAATAAATATGGCCTATGGACAGACCTTTTAGTCTCTCTCACCGCGGAAAATTCTCTTCTCAACAGCAGCAGTTAAAAAAGGAGACAATTGGGAAACAAGAATTCTGTTAAGTTAGTGAAGACAAATGTTCAACATTTTCATTACCTTTCCTGTATTGTTGTTTATGAAATCCTATTAAAATTATTCATTCTTTGCAGTGTACATCGACTTGTGATACTGGGGTTCGTACAAGGAAGCTAAAATGTGGAAAACAGAAAAATGGCCGTGGATGGAAAATGGACAGTTCTGCAAAATGTCGGAATGTTATTCCTCCAGACATTTCATTGAAGGAAGAATGTCAACTACCAGCATGTCCCGTAAAAGAGCATCCATTTTGGTTCTCTTCACCTTGGTCACAGTGCTCAGTGTCATGTGGTGCAGGGATCCAGACTCGTCTAGTCCACTGTATGGACAAGCAGACCCAGGGCCTTGCATCCGGATGTGCAGCCAGCACCAAACCATTGTCTAGGCGGAGGTGTCAGACAAGAACCTGCCCAACACCAGGTGAGACCTTCGTCCCTTGTCATTCATATTGTTGTTTTTTGAGTTTTCGTGATAAAGGAACAGAAATATCGGAGATATTAATATGTCAGGGTCAAAATCAAGGTTAAGAAGTTTCGTTTAGATCAATATCTCAGAACAGTTTAATGATTTAGCTATAAAACTCATCAGGTGATATGATATTGTGGTTACTATTAAAAGTTTGTGGACTTTTTGAATTGGCATGAATTTTAAAATGTATTCCATTATTGTACAAAGAAATGATTAGAACCACTCAATAATTCAGAGTTAGATACAGTAGAACCAAACAATGAATTAAACTGAATAAAACAAATTTCAACATCTAGGTGTGTTAACCTAGTACATGTTTATTTTCTGTTCATTCAACCTTTTCTATAGTATAGTGAGTGATATTTTATCAACAGGTTGGCTTTAAACACAGTTTGTGAAAAATGTACATATGTTAGATAGATTTAGGTTGACATCCTCATAAATCAGGTCAAAAATAGAGATGGAATGTGTGACGAATCACTGTCTAGTTTATTTTTCATGAAAAATTTTATTTTTGAGTTTGGCAAGTTCAAAAACAATTTATTTTGACATATAACACTGGTTTTTAGGCTAAACGTACTCAGTACGTGCAGCCTATTGCGACGGCCTTTCAGACAAAATTTACCGATCCTGGCCTTCTCATTGGCTGAAATATCGAAAAGAGTAAGAGCCCTCTAGCGGTAATTTTCTGCGTAAATAATGCCGTAATCTTTTAAATCACTATTTTAAAAGCATCCTCAATAAGTTCATTTTTAATAACAATACGATTACTATATATTTAAAAAAAGAAGCACAGTGTGGTTGAACTGTTGATAAATTTTGAACAATATATTTTACGGAATTTGTGCACGGACATCCCCGACCTGTGCTATTGAAGAAGATCGAGCTGACGTGATTCTTATCGCCTGCTATGAATATTCCTAGAAAACAACCATATTGACCGTAAGCAGAGATACGTCTCTGCCGAAAGTAATTAAAAAATGGTTTCTTGCATCTTCAAAGTTTATTGTAACTGCGTGACCTGATTTACAGTGTATTTACTGTATGGCGGCTTATGAATCCTTCTCGACATGACGTAAGCGTACAGAACACTGAACATGCGAGTTGGCGCCATGATAAGAAGCTTGTTTGGGGGCTTGGTTTGAATTATTAACTAACAGCACTTATAACAAACATAACTTACAAACAGAACATCAATTTTGCTTGAATCCTTGTCGTTGTGGCAAGATCGTCTTAATATATAGCATCATTTTACCTCATTAGACGTCACAAAATTGGACTGTTCGTCCCACACACATACCCGCCGATATGACACTTTTTCAGGTTTTTCACACCCACCACCATGACTCTTTTTCAAGTTTTTGTAGATAAAAAGTTTGCGCCTCGTAGGCAAGGTACAATTGATGTTCATGATTTATGAATAATATATTTTTAATATTGTACTGATCATGATGTTGACTTTGTTATAACTTATAATTTTTGTCTTTTAGTTTTATTTGAAGGTTGATTGTGCTGATTTCTCTAGGTTTGTTAATGTGTATCAAAGTTCCTTGAAATGAAAATATTCCTTTAAACAAAACGCGTATAAAAAACTAAAATATTCATGTCTATAATAATCAATTAACTAGAACGAAATATTTCCATAACATATTAATTCATTTTGCGTGTCATGGTGACATTATCTAATGCATTGGAGATCAGAAATATTAGTATCTATAGTGAAAATATTGTAAATTTTGTATATATATGGAAGTCAAGTTTAATCTCATAGAACTATGTCTTTATAGATATAATTACTGGAATAAAAATCTAACCATGATACTTCAAGGAAGATATGCATGTAAATAAATTTAATGTAATTGTTTACACTTTTATCTATCTGAAATGCTGTGTACACCTTATCTACTTTCCTAAACCACAAATTTAATTATAATAAGTAAGGACTATTACTTTGCAATACGTTTAAAATAGAGAAGTAGGTATAAAGTCCTTTCGATTTGTCTAAATCCTCATATTGATAGGATAGTAATTGCAACATCTTCGGGATTTTAAAGGTTTTATTTAGTCAACTTCATCATAGATCTATTTATCATTTGGCTTGTTGGCGATGAATATATGGTTGTGTTTATTTTGTTATTTTATTTTTTTTACCTATTTTGATTTGTTCACATTATTGTCGTCCAATTTGAAATAAGAATTAAAGAAGATATAAAATCGCTTAAAATTAAGGAAAATAGCCTCTGGTTCTCTTATTTTAGTAATTTTTTCATTCCAAAGTGTAGGAGTATGGGGAAAGGAATATAGCTTAGCGGTTATTTGTGAACATTTTTCAATACGTTTAGCCTCTCAGTACTTTCAGTACTTTGATTTAACTCATTAATAAGATAATTCTTGTTGAAATATGATAGGTACCTGCAAAAGTGCGCTTTTACAAGGACACATGTGTACAAGTTTTTTTAGCTCGGCTGCCAATCGAATCCGAAAATGTTCAGAGTTACTTTGACATATAAGACGGTTTTTAACTCATTGATTAGATAATTCTTGTTTTAATATGAAAAGTACCTTCAAAAGTGCACTTTTAGGAGGACACATGTGTACAAGTATTATTTCAGCTCAGCTGGCAATCGAATTCTTAAAATGCTCCTTACATTCTACTTTCTGAAAAAGTGACATTCTCCACCATTTGAGGAGTTAGTTATACTTTATATGTATAAATGATATAGAAATGGTAAATTTCTGACTCCTGTTGTTACTCTTTACATCTTCGTGCTTCAGACGAATCCACCTATCTCGGTGTCTTCAGAGATAATCATCCTCATGAGGTTAATTTCCATATAACCAGAAAATCAGTTTCTGTTATGTTCTTTTCCAGATCCCTTGTGTATAGACCAGTTTCAGTGGTGTCATCTGGTACCAAAACATGATATATGTAATCACCATTTTTACGGACGGAAATGTTGCTTGTCATGTAAAACCAAATCATGACCCCTTCAGCGTGGCAACTAGACCAATCATAAACCTTGGACTGGGATTCGTCGACTTCATAAGCTGCATGCTCCAGTATTTTGAGTATTTCTTATATGAAATAATCAGCAATGCTTCTGAATAATGAAGAAGTAAATCAGCTCTCCTCATACCACATTGTTGATAAGGAGGTGGATTGACTCCAAGACGATGAAAATACCTCAAAAGTGTGATGAAATTGCAGCATTACTATCCCAAGATCGTAGTCCTTTTAGGATTGACAAACAAGTTTGTACAATTACAACAAGTCTTCTGATCACGTCCTAGTAAAGACAATCGTGAGAAAGCCATCAGATCATTTATGTATAAAACAACTGTTATTGTTTTGAAATTCCAATTACTGAGTCACCTGGAAAGAGGCACCAGAAGGGACTGAAATTGAATCCTGTAAAATACTGATTTAGATACTACAAGATATTGTAAATGTCTAGAACATATATATCCCTGGATTTTAGCTGTGAGTGTTCACCATATTCCTGAGAGAATACTCATCTGGACTGCTCTATTAATCGACGTCATTGCAGTTCGGAAAGAAAGTATAACCTGGATTAACAACACATTATTCGGCATAATAAACATAACATACAAAAACCGTTATTACATAAACGTATGAGAAGTGATGGATTTGATAAATAGATGATAACAGTGATGACAATAGAGAGGGTCACTCTAAGTAATGTTAATACTTAGTGATTGGAGACATTATCAAAATTCAAATAATGAGATACCCCTGGGCCTTAATGTGGTAATCTGAACATAAAAACATATATGAAAGAGGCAGAACAGGTCTAAAATAAATTGCTTGACTAATCTACAGCTTACAAAGAAGACATTATTGGTTCATCAATACATTTTCTGCAAACTTGAAATCATATCCTTTATACATGCACTACACAACTGCCATTACTCTGGACATATTGCGTTTTGAAAAAGCAAGCTTAAGACCCCTGGCCTTTCAGTTGTTGAGTAGAAGTTACTTCAGCATTTCAACACGTTTGACCCCAGTGACCTTGAAAGTTGGTCCAATATCAGCACCCTGGTCCTTTTAGTTATTGAGAAAAAGTCTTTTAAACATTTTAAAACATTTGTTTCCTATGGCCTTGAAAGTGAGTCAATGTCATTCATAATAAGAATGTTATTAGCCCGTCATCCTACCATGCTACAGGCCCAATATCATCATCCTTGGCCTTTTGGGTATTGAGAAGAAGTCATTTAAAGATTTTGACATATTTGATCCCTGTGACCTTTCAAGCAGGCCAAGGTCACTCCTTTTAATTAAGGGTCGAATCAACTTTCTGAATCTTAATGATTTCCCACTCTCCATGATGGTTTAGACCAAATTTGGTTGAGATTGTCTAACTTCCCATTTTGGGACCTCACCGACCCCCCCCCCCCCCCCCCCCCAATAGGAATTTGAAGCTAAATATTGTTATATTTCCCCTTTCCCCTAAAGTCCATATGGTGAATCAACTTTCTGAATTTAGGAAATGGTTCCCCATCCTCAATGTGTCAGACCAAATTTTGTTGAAATAAATTTAAGCGTAAAAAAAGTAGAGTTTGAAGCAAAGTATTGGCTGATTTTCCATGTCCCTTTGGCAAGAGAGGTGGATCAAATTTCTTAAATAAATGCTTACCCAAACAGTTGAAATCCATGCAGCAGAAAGGAGAAGTAGGATTTTAAATCTAATTTCAGTACCTCCTCCTTTGGGGCACCATTCCTTGACCCCTAGGGACCGAATAACAATTCGAAATTCAAAAAATGATCACCTTTACCCAATGATGCAACAAACCAGAAAAAACTTACGCATTGCTTACAACGACGTACGATGCACCACACACAATTGCTAAATCAGATTGTGTTTGTGGTTTCATGAAATGAATTCATTGAATACTTGCATGTTTATTGTTTTGGTATCTTTTGATAGAAATGCCATATCATCTGCCGAGGAAGTTGTTCATGTAGAGAATTCTTCATAAAAATTCAAAGTATAACCAAATGGAGAACATCTCTCACATTGTTACTAAAAATTTACAATCAGAATGTGATTCAAAATTACATTATTAAAAAAAGGTCATACTTGAAAACAGTTGGAACTGACAACAAAACGGTGTATATTTCTTTGTGCACACTTTGTTTGCAATGAAGACAGTGGTAAGGTTAATGAAAATGTTTCTTATATTGTTTTTTCAATTATGAAATCAATTTAGGATTTCCTCTTCATTTCTTTAATCAAGTTTGGAATTAATTGCAACTTATAGCTGTTCACTTCTGATAAAAGTGGAGAAGAAATGTATAGACGTGATTGTTTGGTATGAGTTCAAACGATATTTTATCCTGATTGAGTATGCATGCGTGTGCATTTGTGATTTTATACGTGCAAGATTTGATAAGTTGTGATGATACACGCCATTAGTGTTCCTCGAGTTACTTTTTAAATAGCTTTTTACGGAATGACAAAAACTTGAATTCATTACACTGAGAATTTGTGTGTACAACATGTTTCCTTTCGCATGGCATTTCCATGTCATGAATCAACTTTTCATTTTTTGGTTTTGTATGTCTGTATTAAGATCCCAATCTAAATTCAAATCCTGGTTTTATACACATATATTATAAAAAGCAGATGTAGTTCCACATTGTGAAACCACGCTGTGGTTTACCTTTGTTAAAAACTTCAATGGTGTTGCTTCTGTGATGCCCTTGTATAGGATAAATTTGTATTTCAAAATTTGAAAAAAAATCCAATCGGATAAAGAAGGAGATTTCATGTATTTCGAGGTATGTTGACAATATTGTGAAATATCATTAAATCTGTTCCAACTTATCGTCTAAATGAATTATTTAACTAATTCCAATTCCTAATTTTTTAATGAAAAAACAGTGTCCTAAATATTAGTGAGTAACCTGTAATCTTGAAAATCTTAATGACAACATTACTCTTTTTGAAGTCCCTTTTATTGACAACAGTGTTAATAGCCATAATTTATTAAACCATACATTGTGGATTTCAGTTATTTTCATAGAATTCAAATATTGAATTACGTCTCTAAAAAGGTTCCATCTTGGTTTCAAAAGCTTTGAAACCAAACGATCAAATGTGTCAAGGCGCACCAAAATACTGAATGCATTCTCTTTAGTAATTACAAACAAATTAGAATAAGCACTTCTTAGAAATATTTGTTGTTTTAAATCACGAAGCTTTTCAAAAAAATATCGGAAAACAAAAGACTGTATACAATATAATAAATCAAATATCTAGTCTGGAACTCATTACATCTCCACCACCATTTCACGCCATATTCGTGGGATATTTTGTTATTCACTTGAGAAACAGAGCAAATGAATCATTCTTGATTTCGGAGCTGAGACTGGCGACTGATGTTCTACATATCCACATTCTGTTTTGTTTCACCTCCTTGGCAGTTAATATTTCCCATTGTGAATCGTATCGATTTTAGAGTTCAAGATTCCTATCCTTGCAACAGTGATGGAGTATTTACAAACGTTTGAAATAGTTGAGTAGTTTACGATGAGTAAAGTATTTTTGCACTATGGCTTCATATGATCATAAGTGTCCTTAACGAAATTAGAATAATGAAATCATACAAGGAAAAGATGTCACTAATTAACTCTGTTTATTTGAAACTTAACCATTAAAAACTGTCATGTTAGCTGACGATTCAACAGGTCTATAGCCCTTACACAACAGAAACTGTCAAAAAAATATATATCATCCGTCCTATTCTCTTGTGTATTAATGAAATATTGGGTTATGATCTTTTTTCCAGATAGCAATTTTTTTATATTGCCAACATGTCCCCTGGATAATTTTGTCAAATATTGATGTCATACAGTCCAACTGAATACATGAATCTATTCTTTCAGAGTTTTAGACCAGTTGGAAACAGACAAAACTTCAATTTTATTTCATGAGTCATCACTACATGTTAAAAAGCTTCAGAATTTTCTGTGGTTGTCGGGAAGGGCATTTGGAATCGCTCTGAACATTATTTGTTAAATGTATCGATTAATATATTTGCCGAGCGATAAATCGTATGAAATCAATGTGGGAATGAAAGGTGAACAGAGCAGTTAATTTACATTGTAAATAACGGAAACCTGAAATATGAATCAATGATATTGTTTGACAGAATAACAAAGCTTTTGCATACCATGACTATTAGAATACTAAAGTGTATTTATATCCATGTCTTTTCATGTTTGTTGTACATTTTCATATATTTGTGCAAAACAATCACGATTATTAGTATTATATCTGTACAGATGGAAGATATTTATTTTTGTATTAGACTGTATTATGCTCGCAGTGCCAGTATGGAGAATGTGTCTGTAACAGTGATGTCTTTGATTGTACTATCAATATCTATAATATTGTAAATAATTAGTTCATTGCATCCTGATGTAAAAGGAATATACATGTGTGAAGGGTAAGTGTCAAGACCGCCACAGAAATATTTGCTCTTTGTGCATATTGTGTATACTTTGGCAAGCAAATTTTACTTATTTCATAGATAGATATTTCTTCCAAGCCGCCATATTTGGGGGCCAAGGATGGACAATCATGATGACTTGAGTGTGATTTTGAAAAAGTGACATTTTCAAGAACAGTGATAAAATTCCACTTTTAACAGTTCGAGGCATTTAAGCTCTATTATGCTATCAAGTGGTTTATAGACATAACCTCATCGTGCTGTGTTAGAAATAAAACAAGGAAATACCAACAGGTCAACGCAATCATGATCCAAACTTCAGTAAAACAAACGCAAAACATGCCAAAAAGAAAATTTACTCTGAGACTCCTGAAAAAGTCAATGAAGAATAAGTCAGGGAAGAGTAAGCATCATCTGCTTCATCGACGACATCTGCCATGCAAATGTGGTTAATCCAAGTAGGTCATGTCACGTTCTTAGATGAGAACTTGGTATAAGACAATGGAACC